AGAGAGAGAGAGAGAGAGAGAAAGAGAAAGAGAGAGAGAGAGAGAAGAGAGAGAGAGCCGGAGGGAGGGAGAGAGACAGGGATGGATAGCAGCTTCTCGGAGGAGAGATAAAACGGCAGGAGAAGTGTACTTTGAGGAGTTTGAGATGGGTACGTATGAGATAAGGGGATAGAATAGAGGTGAGGAGGTGCATGATAGGAGATGGAGACTTTGTGGTTGAGGGGGATGAGGATTAATGACAAGTAACAGCACCCTTGCGCTCTGGAAAGTCAAACTCTACTTCAAAGATTTGATGCAAGTAAAGTTAGGAGATGAAAGGAGCCATGGAATACCAGCCCCCCCCCAAAAAAAGTGGGTGAGGTGGCGGGGGATGAGGGTTTTTTTAAGAGGGGGGGGGGGCATACAGGATCTTCTGTCTCTGAACGTGGGGACGAAGCTGACGACAAGCCTCAACATTTGCATTTACTTTTCCGACTGCTGTAGCTCTCATTTGTCTAAGTGACCACATGTAATTTTAATTCTTTCTGTCTACCCGAGCAACCCTATAAGATTCGTTCTGTTCTTCACATTTTCTGTCCCCTGGGACGAGATGGCTCATGCACTGGCCATTGCATCATGTGACTACTTTTGTACTTTCAACTCTCAGACCCGAGGTAGTCAAGTCAACTGACTAGAAGCTGCATTATCATATTGATTTTTTACATCTTGCTTTCCTCATGTGTTTTTAATATCAGCTTGCTTGCACTGCATCTGTGTCTTCACATTATGTCAAGTCTTTCTTTTTTTTTTTTTAAAGGTCTTTTTTTTTGCAGAAAATGATAACTTATATACATGAATTAAATTTGTTGCCATGAAGCTTACGAATTGTAAATGTTACTATGGACAATACATGACTAGTCTTAAATGTGGTAATTTGATATAAGTTGCCTGTGCTGTTGGCAGTCGATTGGTTGATGAAGGAAACCACCAGAGGACACATAAATGGTATACAGTGGACCCCATGGACACAGTTGGACGATCTGGATATTGCGGACGACGACGATGATGGTGATGATGATGATGATGATGATGATGATGATGATGATGATGATGATGATGATGATGATGATGATGATGATGATGATGATGATGATGATGACAC